GAAAGAAGATTAATACATATGAAAAAATTTAATTTACTTAGCAACTGTTCAAATAATAAAACTGATAAAAAAAGCTACCGTAATTGTCGCATTACCAACAAAAATTTGATAACTTCTGGGGACAGAAAAAACTAAAAGTTTTATATGTTTTCAGAAGATAAAAAATGTTATGAAAACATTATTTTGAAAAGCTAAACGCTTAATAGTTTATAAAGTTAAAAATATTTTTGATTTGAGCATTTCCAGTGAGAAACAATTTGATTAGGATAAGAGCAAACAACATACTTTCGTTAAGTTTGCCTTGCATTACAAATAAAAAAAAAAATTCAACTGGACTGTAAGCAACAAATTTTCCGTGTTTTATAATGTGTTAATAGGTAAAATGAATATTAGAATTGAGAATAAAACATGAAAGGAGGTAACAAACTGTGACTAGCGTAATCAAAGGTGCGCCTGATTAGATGGTGGCTAAAGTTAATCCACTTCATGTGATCAAATAGACATTGCACTAATTTAATAAAACAAACAGTTGGGGCTAATTTGCAGTTTTATATAAAGCAAGGAATTCCTGAAGATGATCAAGTATTTACGACTGCTAATAAGCAATTGCTGTATAGAAAAACAGTTTCTGGTTGCCCAAAATAGACCGACAAGTAGTTTTGAAGACAAACTATTGCTACGGATTTCTAGACCCACAGCATATAAGGTCCTTTTTTGTTGGTGTGCAGATTTCTCGACATGCTCAAATGCTCACTGATAAGTTATCAAGTAAAGTTCTGTCAGAACGGCAATCAGCTAAACGCAGAAATGAACGCATCTCGACGGGTATCCTGGCTAATCGTTTTCCAGCCGTTTACTAGAGCCGGAAATTAAATTTTCTTATAAAATCCCACTTTCCTACTGATTTTTAAGTGAGTTTCATAACCATGCCTTCGAAATGTGGCTTTATTTGAGCAGACTAAGGTAAAAAACACCGTGCGCCTCTGACGTAACATCATACTTCATCATCACAGCTTAATCTTAGGAGAAAGAAAAATCAAACTGAAAATAAAGGTCTAATGCCGAAAAAATTTCCGACTAACATTACTAAAAAATTCATTTACGTGGAACCATTTGATAATGTTTTAAAGCCCACGCTTTTTCTTTAAATGTCTATGGATGTATATAGATTTCTATGACGGTCGCCCATACTTCATATATTAACATAAAAAATACAGTGATAAGGATGCGATGGAACGACACTAATAATAACAGACTTAAATTAACTCAGAAAATAAAAAAAAAATTTTCTTCTGGTAAAATCTCTTTAGTGACGTTAAATACTGTTAAGCATCGGTAAGCAAAGTAGTAAAAAGTGGGACATGAATGCAAGCAGCCCACAAAAATCAGAAGTGAAAGAAGCTAACAGGAGCGGTGTATACAAATCTACAACAACGTCATTAAGTATGTGTTTCTGCTAACTAAAAAATTATTTATTTCGTTGCACAACGAAAACTTCTTTATTGGCTAGACTAAATTGAGCCAAATACTCTCACTCAAGAGGGTCTGTATTCTAAAGAGCCCCGTTTTTCACCAAGGTGCAGTCCTTTCACCAGGACAAACGAAAAAACCGTTACTGGTACAACTGCAGCTTAAGCGAAAATTTATCAGTGACACTTTCGTTTTCTAAGCGCGGCCAAAAAGGAGCGAAGTCCCGCTGAGAACCGCATTTTGAAGACACATCAATGATACCAAAACAAAAAATATGAATGGCTCGGGCTTCAAAAGTGAGGCAGAACCAGGAAGTATAGAAATTGATTAGCTCTTCAGAGTTCTAACAATTTTCCGTTTGATGGAGTCCCTCTTCCTTGAAAAATAAAGTTTTATTCTCTCTTCGTCATCCCAAAGTGATTTTTCTTCTTACTTGTTAAGAGAGGCCTCAACTAAGTTTATCGTCTTCGAATAGATGTGTCGATTTGCCCAGCCCCCCTCTGCCCCGCAACTGATTCTTCTCACTTTCTGTTTCAAAAAAAGATTTTCTTTTTATCCAAACGTCGCGCATAAATTTCTGGTTTCCTAAATCTAAAGTGAAGTTTTTACCACAAAGCTGCAACCTTTTCGGCATGCTGCACTTCCCATTGTGTTCCTCAGATAATCAGAACTTTGTGGGCTTAACATTAGAAAAATTAATCTAAAAACAAGGACATTTAGTTCTTTTCTTTGTTTGTAAAAAAGAGTTTAATCCCCACTAGATCCAAGGTCGTAATGACATTGAGGAGCAACAGAAATCGAAAGTGTAGAGAAGCTGGTACGATGAAAATATTCTTTTTGAGTGAAAGTTTTCAACGTTAGCCAACAAAACAGTCCTCGTCAATTTGCGGATAATAACAGTTAAGCGGGAAAGAATTTGGTTGTGTGTATTGTAAATACTAAGCGGTAAACATATACACAAGGACACCATACCAAAGATTGAACAATTCACGGACTTTTCCGAAATACAGCAAATTTTTGAAAAGTACTATGATCCAAGTTACAGCTGAGTTGTGCTTATTTGAATAAGCAGGGCTTCTCAAGATAACGGGTTCAAAACCTATTGCTAAATAAAAATAAAGTCTCTGGGCGTAACTGGACTGAAGTAAAGTTTAGATAACAAAGTCTCATCAGTAGGCCGTAAAAAGGCTGAATAAAGACAGGATAATGACCTACTAATCGCATTTCTTTAATCATACTGCCAAATGCTTTCTTAGATACTTCTACCCTGGAAACTTTGCATTTTCTAAATACCACGTCGCTTTGAGCTTGTTTACACTGATGCGATGTTGACAGCTAGTACAAGAATACTCGAGAAACCACTGCTATACTTTCAAAGAAGTTCAATATCTCGTCCTTTAACGTAACTTACTCCTTATATCACTCAAATTGAGGCTCTTAACAGAATTAAGTTTTATCGGGAGGCCGCAAAAGTAAGACTTGTAGTTTCCAAGCTGTCTGCAAAGGAAACTGATGATACGCTAAACTAAACGCAACTGCACGGATAACGCTGCAAGCCTGTGTTACATACCAGAGCTTTTCACGTAGTCGAGGTTCGCATATTTCAGGCACAGTACCTTTAGAATTGGTAATAAGAGATGGCAAGAAATTCTCCTCGTTCAAGTCGAACCACAAGTCAACAAATTCCTTCCTCTAACCACTAGTAGGCCTTAGTGAAATTGTCAAAGCGCTACGACAGTTATTCAAAGATTGCTCTCTTAAGTAATGCTGGCTTCTTAATCATCTGCTCTACAAAGTCCAAAAAATCTATAATGTATTCAGAAAAATCTGGAGGTTAAAAATTATTTTTATAAAAAATATGCTTAGAAGACGTTTGATCAAATAATCATCTTATGAAAATGTTGAAAACAAACTTTTTTGCATTGTGAATCAGAGTGCCACTGTAATTATCAATAAAAGGAATCTGATAATATGAAATGTTAGTTTGATTATTTTGAAAAATTTCACTTTTCTCTGTTTTTTCTGAAAAATAAGCAGAGTTCAGTTTTTAGCAGTACTTCAAATAACAAAAAGATTTCGCAATTCGAGAAGATTTTGATACTGCTTCCTTAATTTTCATAATTTTTTTGTAGGTTTTCGTAACATTCCATTACCAGGTTCTATTGAAATTTAGAAGCTGAAGATCAAATATAGCATTTTTTCATGACCAAATATAACTTTTTTTGCCCTAACAAGCCTTGGAGCTATCAGAATAAAAGTGCTGGTGTTTCTGCTTATACATCTGCTGACTATACGGTTAGCCAAACATTTGGAGCCTATTTATACGATGACTGTTTCATTGTTCTATCTTGCAACTTTTATAGTAAACTAAGTAAGGAAAAATTAATCATATTTTTGTCTTCGCCGGTATTGGTTGAAATTTGTGCGTAGGTTCTTGGTTTTTTTTTTTTTGGAAAAGCAGAGACCAAAAAGTTGCAAGTAAAAAATTTTTGCAGAGGACTAAAAACTAAAAAACCCGAAACTAGCTCGATTTCAAATATTTTAGTTGATAAAGAAATTGATGGAACAGATTTTTATGAATTGAATATTCTGCAAAAATTTTCCGCTGAAACTTGTTCAGTTTTCATTTTTACTATAAAAAAACAAAACAACCAGCTTATTTTGTCAGAATTTGTTGTAACCCTACAGTACAGCAAAACTTATCAAAAAAACTTGAATAGTTACCAACTTTTTCGTTAATTCGTTTAACCAAATCCAGGTTTCTTGAAATTTTGTACGAACACGTATGCGATTTGTATTAGCCGCCACTGCCCCAAATCCAGCTCCAGCCTTTCTATAATCATCCACAGCAAACGAGTTGTACTGTGTGGCAAAAAAAACTCCTAAACGTTTTAGATTCATAGAATTTTTTGGTTGTGTAAAAACACATATTACTGTTTGTTTGGATAGTCACGGAATATCTGGATGTCCAATAGCTGTAAAACGAAGTTGCAGCTGCGATAATTAGCGAATTAAGCTTGTTTTCTTTATGGTATATTAGACTAAGTAAATTGAATTCTTATAATGTGCATTACTTTAGCCAAAAATTTTGAAATGTTTTGGCAGTTACTTTTCTAGGCAACCAACCATTTACACTCTCCTTAACTTTTTTTTTTCTTTTCTGGACATTAGCAATTATCAAATAAACGAAAAGAAAAACAAGATCTGTTACTAAACTGATTGGGTCACTTAAAAAAATCCATGTTGAATGAAAAGCGCCGTTGAAGCTTATATTAAGCAAGAAACTAGCAACAAACGAGAGCATTCAAAAAAAGTCGATAAAATTCATTCATAATCAATTAGAACTAACTCTTCCCTATTTTCATTCCTGTAATCAACTTTTTTTTTCTTTCTGAATGTTTTTTCTTTCTTACTGTAAAAGAAAAAAAGCTAAATAAATCTGCATTTTAACTAAGCTCTTGTAACATTTCGACAACTTTGAACTGTTCTTCTGTGGTATAGTTTTAGAAAAACAATTAACAACAAGCCGTGAGTAATAGAAGCTGGGATTAGATGCATGCAAAAAAAAAAAAAAA